TGCAGAACACCGCTCACTCTGACAAAGAACGGCGTCGCAAGAAGTGTTGCACGCGCCAAACCGCCGTCAGCATCATCGACACAAAGCGATGCTGAAGACGACAGGGACACCTTCAGGATCCCCAAACACGCCTTGAGACGCCATGCACATAATTAGGAGAAATGCGGAAGAAACAAGCTGCTTCGTGGCTGTGATGAGAGCTGCAAGTTACATAGACAGTGGAGATACTCTTTCTTGCTGGCACCCACCGTGACACCTGGGATTTGGAACTGGGCACCAAGGCTGCGGCGACGTTTGACGTCGAGGCAGCTTGTCTTCGTCTTCTCCACTGTCCTGCAGATGCGATGGCTTACTGACCAGTAGATCGTGATCACACAAAAATTCTCGGAAAGAGTGATGACTTGCAACACCTCCATAGTAAGAACGCAATTGGGGAGCTTTGCCGATATCATACTCACCCCATTTCAGCTTTCGCCAAAGCATGTTCCCTCGAAGTCCCGCACCCGAACGTTCATCCATGACTATCCAGCCACCTGTGAACGGAAAAGTCTGGCCGAAGTCTCTCAAACCACTAGTACAATTGAGAGTTTCCATGCGGATGAAGCGATGGCTGTCAGAGGCCGTGGGGTGTTGCGGATTGTTGCAGTTGAAATGGCGTCGAGCTCGGAAAACGTGGCTTAAAACCCATGAGCCCAGAAAGCGATTCTTGGAAGTGGACAATCGCGTCGAAGCCACAATGGGCACACCGCTGTAGGGCGAGCAAGATATCCGATTCGGGCGAGCTCCGGAATGTCGAGAACGTAGCGAGGAGCCCTGAGGAGCCGAATAGCGTGGCCCAGGCCCTGCCAAGACTTTAGCGACCTCGTGCTGTTATGTCGAGGCGAACTGAGCACGACACTTCGGCGAGAGCGTGGTTGGCGAAGATTGGCAAAACCCATCTAAAGTAGTGCGGTGCACTGTTCAACGAACCCCGTGTTCTGACGGTTTTCGGTCGGTGCGGGACTTGAAACACCGTATTTTCACTCGGCCAATGTCAACTGCAGAGGTCGGGAGCCGTGCAAACACGGGGCGTGCTTACCGAGCGAGACTCATACCCCAAGCAGCTAATCCGTGTCGTTCCTTAGATGTAAGAACCCGTGTGGTGTCACGCTGTTTGCCAAACATATGTGTAGACATACATGCTTGCAACAAGTTTGGCGAGCAAGTTGAATCGAAAACGTGCAAGCGAGCAGGCAGCCAGAATTTCTACAAGCCATCGTCATCTGGTTAAGGGTTTCGACACACACACACAAACACACACACACACACGCACACATACACACACACACACACACACACACACACACACACACACACACACCCACACGCGCACACGCACACGCACACGCTCGCACAAGGCAGGCATGGCTTCAATCCGCCTGGTTCGCGAGTTTAGAAGTTCCACCCTGCATAAGACCGCTGACACCCCAAACAGTCGCGAAACAAGAACAACCGCTTCTCGGTCCGTGTCCCAGGCGCCGAACGGCAACACGCCCGGGAGAACCTGATACGGTGGGTTTCCTAGCTCGGCTCACCTCGAATGTGGCTGTAGTCCTGCACTTAAACTTCAAGTTCATACTCAAGGGCGCCGGTCTGATGCTCCGAGGCTGTGATACCGGCCTGACATCTACAGGCCACGGCGAGATCCGTGCCAAGTGTTCGTGACGTTGTGAGTATGGCATGGAAACTCCAAGCGACTGTGTCTACATGTTACATGGTGACTGCATGGAGTGGCCGTAGCGACAGAATACGAGTCTGAGCCTTTGGCCTTTGCCGTATACTGACCTCAGTGCCCAGGAATCCAGAGGCACTCAGGCACGCATGCAAAACAGCGAATTCAAGGCAATGGTAAATCAACTTGCAGCAAAGGCGTGTTACTGCTCGAAGTCTGCAACGAGGCTTGCCCTGCCCTGCAGGCCGCTAGAAGCAGCCTCATCATCAAAAGTGCCACGGCTGTAAATCGGCCATCGAGAATTACGGGGAACGGAGCTGAGGAACTCTGCTTGCTGTCATAACATCACCCCAAAATATAGAGCCCTGGCCCGAAAAATTCGACCATCAGCAATGCTTTTTGCAAGGCAATTCCATGTCGCGTGAGACACTTCCGTTGTGCGAGTCATGAGAGGCTGGGTGCCTCGCTTGGTCTTCGAGAGGTCGCCTCGTGCGAGCTCTGCGCACTGGCGCTTGTTGAAAACGCTCAGCTAAATAACCACTATCACGCATGGCTTCATATCTTCATGCACCTGAGAAGTACCAGTGCAGGCCATCCCATCTTCAGAATTGAATTGCTGAAAATGGAAAACCCGCTCCCGGCAGCTCCGGTCAACAAGCCTTTGATCAAATATCGGGAATGAGGGACCCCTAGTAAATAAAGCCCTCTATGTCCTCCCGTTGCGTGTCCCGGGGACTTCGTCTACAGTCGGCCCGAGGGGCCTGTTTGTGTAAATTAAACTAGCTTCTCCTCCTGGGAACCGCCTCTGTTCTCCAGGCCTCGGAGATTTTCTCCATGATCTCTTTGAAGGACACCTGCGAAGATCGTCGCATCCGCTAGCTTCGATTAAACATGCTTCAGGCCATCCCGGGAATTTGAAGCATACCTGCAAAGAGACAGAGACAGAGAGAGAGAGAGATTGAGAGAGAGAGAGAGAGGGAGAGAGCCAGAGAGACAGAAGCTAACATGCGCAATGCAGTATGTTTCAATACTGAATATGTACCTGAGTATCTAAAGGGGCGTGCGTGTGTGTGTGTGTGTGTATGTGTGTGTCCGCACATGAGTAACCAGACAACAGACATGACAAGTTCTAACTCGTCCTATGCTGCTGACCTGCAACTAACCCACGTCTGCCTACTTCCTTTTGGGCAGAGCAGTACGTGCTACGTTTTAGTGTCAGGATGGGCAAGTTCCACTGCCCCGACCTTGTCATCGTGGTCCGACTCTACCACCGGCTCCTTCCGCGAGGGGAGAGGTAGGCACTCTTGCACAATTGTAAACTCACGTATTTACCTATGTGCGTCCTGGGTTGATGCCAGTCTTCTGCGGGGTCATATCGTTTTGAGTTTTGGTTCTGCATGGCATCCTAGTTTGGCCCATGGGACTCGTGAACTGTTTCGAAACATCAGCAAGTCCAGTGCAAAGACCGGACACGTCCCGGCGCAAGTACCACTGCCCACGGTCCTCGAAAGTGGTTGACGCTTTTGCTTGGGACTTGCTGTCGGATGCGGAAGATGTCCTGAAACGACAGGCAACCGTTCCGGTAGCATGACCCCGCAAGACAATCTGCGTTGAGGCTGATACCTGAATGGGTTGACCAAGGCCGCCGAGAGGGTACTCATTCTGATAAGAAGAACAAGAAGAGGAACAATCCGCTGCATGCTGACCATACTTTTCGCGCGTCACACCCTCCGTGCTCCAGGACTCACTCAGTCACCCGCTCACCCAGTTCTACAGTTCTGAATTTGGCGACGGACGCTCAAGAAGAAAGCAGTCCTCTGCCGGAGCATTTAAGCTGGATCAATTAGGTCCTGTCGACAGCGAGCCAGCCAGTGCTTTTCCAAATGAAGGGATACCCTATGCCGCTTGAGAATCTTAGGCGTACAACAGCCACCCTTGATACTTGCCATCTCTAACTCAAGCTCGACACCCCACCGGGCCCATGGTCAGAGTTCAAGTGTGTTCACAAGATTCAGGCCACCGCCCTCTGGGGTCATAGGATACTGCCACCACGAGAAGAGACCGAGAGAACGGCTTGCATTTTAACTGAGCCGTACTACACTTCGATCCACACACAGATCAAACGAGAGCAGGCCGCACGAGCTGCGGTTTATGAAACCCAACGGAATCTCTCAACCGTCTCCTGCGCAGCAGCAGACACGGACCGGCGGCAAGCTCCACGACTACGGTCAGCCGGAGATGGTCTCTGGACTCAATTTCAACAACACGTTGATGACAGACCTGATTTGTGGGCAAGCTTCCTATTCAGCTGCTCAGTTTCTGCACGAGTCCGGAGGGAGAGCTTGCCTGATCAGTGGCAGGCAAATCTCCGCACTGCTGTCCAAGACAGCAAGCACAATGGATGAGAGTTAACACTGACTAGATCTTTACTGACCATGGATTTCGCACCAACAGGACCCGAAAATTGGAACACCTGAAACAGCAAGGCAAGACTTGTAAAGGATAGGTAGCAGAGTAGTTCGGACTGATACTCAACGTGCGGACTCTGCCTGCGTTTGTGATGACGGCATGATTTAATCTGGAGCCCTGCAATGCTTGTCCCATACATTGGTAGACAACCCTTATTGCTGGATAAACTAGCACAACGTGACTTAACGCCCTACGTAGGAGTACCGAAGATGTACAGGATGTTGAGACATCACCCATGTGTAGGAAATGCCGTCCATGGTGTCAGCGACTAAAGGTACACTCCACCCAAATACAGGGCGGCTTGCGGTGGAAGGTGAGCAAAGCGGTCCAGTAGCGAGTTTGATTCGCTCACCCGCCGACGCCGAGACCGGCTACGTCAGCCAGAGTCTCGCCCGTGCATGCACAAAGCCAATCCTCGCACACAATTCTGAGTCACGTCTTGAAACGAACGATTCCAGGCGAGATTCCAGGGCCGCGCCACTACGTCAAAAGACTTCCCGTCTGCCAGGTGGACCCTTCGAATCGAGGTGTGCGGATCTGTTCTGACGTTTAACATCTGCGCCCTCTGCCTTATCCTGAAAAGGCCCGATTCCTTTCGGAGGGGATCTCTGGCTTCCGAGTGCCGGCGTGGAACTAAGCGCTGCTTCAAACTGCGACACCTTGAGCCGGACTGACGAGCCGGGAAGATCCAAGACCTGAGCTTAGACGTGATACCGTGATACCAATGAGCCCAGGAGGCCTGATGTTGGCGACGCAGCACTCACACGCTTTTTTGCCCACGGCTTATGGCGACAGGGCCGTCGCAGTGCATAACACGCAGCTATACCTCGTCATCGTTGAGCAGCATGTTTGGAATGCTGTCCTCAGGCGTGGTCAAAGACAAAGGTGACAAGTCCTGCCCTCTATGTCCATGCACCACAGGACGACGCAAAGAATGTACCCAAGCAAACCGGAGAACAGCAACCCGGTTGGGTCCAGCAGCACAAACTACCGGAAGCACCGTTCACACACATTCGTGTTTTCATGATCCCCGACAGTCCCTGAGCCCGACGCAAAAGCCCGAGTCTGAGCCCAAGATGAAGACCGTGAAAGATCCCAAAAGGACCCAAGAGCCCCGCCACTCTCGAACCTGCCCAAGAGCCGTTTCTCTGCCGTCTTGGGCCCCAAGCATTGACTGGGAACTCCCTGCCAGACTCAGGGCCTCAACGTCCACTAGAGATTCAGATATCTTCGAACGATTTTGACACATTTTGACCTAAGGTTTTTGCAACACCAAAAGTTTCAGAACTGTTTCAGACCGCTGCATCTGGCTTGTTGCGACGGTCACGTTTCCGGCTTCAGCGGCCGAGGTTCAGGCAAACCAGCTTGCCTTCTATCAAATGCAGATCGAAAAGAACCACCTCAGCACTTGGCAATTTCTGGTGGAAACGGCAGAGCCCTGCGACCGTCCTTTGGCATTTATGTTAGGCGGGAGGACACGCCAAAGCATAGCCTACTACCTCGTCGCCTGCAACCTCGTCATTACTTGCGTGGGCCGCTTCCAACAAGTCCGGTAGCAAAGCTCGACTGGTGAGCTAGTGCTAGTGTGACCTTTCTGAGCCACTTGCATGCAACGTCTTCAAGAACTCTTCGTTGTTCTCCTGGGTGAACCAACAAAGAAGTTCTGGACCCTTATGGGATAACTTCAGGGACGTCAGGGTGCTGTCTGCATGAAAAGTCATGAGCACGCTCCAGCAGCAGTCTCTTCCAGAGTTTCACTTCGTCGTGGCTGGCAGTGGTAAGGCATACTCCATTCTAGAAACTCACCCGTCCCCCCCCCAACTCTTCACAAACCCACTTCGTCGAAGACACGTGATCCGATGGCAGCGAAGCCGGCAGCTCCGGGATGGCTGCCAGCCTCGGAGCAGAATGGCCCGTATCGGAACAGGGCTCAACAGTCTCTTTCTGACCTAAAATATACAGGAGAACTGACAGCTTTCTGCAAGGATGAAGTCTGCCGAGGCCGCAGCGCTTCTCTTCCTGCGATATTCGGACATGCTCGGACTTCAGACAAGGCCTGCGACTCAGAGCAGCAAAGGCTTCCCGACGGCCGCAAAGAGCGAAGAGACAGCCCAAAGAGTGTCATGCAGGGGTGGACATGTCGGCTTAACTTGATTACACAACCTTGACTAAGTACAAGTAGCCTTTGAGCAGAAGGGGTACAACATGTTGCGACAACTGCAAGCAGCAGCACGCCTTCAGCAAAGCGTCATATTCGAGCTTTGGAATCATGGCGCTGACGAAGTCTTTGTCAAAGGGGCTCTCCTAGTGTGGTATTTGACAGCTTCGGCCTTTGACTTAGGCTGCGCAAGTCTCCTCACTTCGTCCGTCCAGCGAGCAGCTATGGCGCGGGAAAGCGTCCTCGTATTTCATGGCTGTCGCTTGGATGATCAGCGGGTAGCCCTTTTGGACGCCTTTCTTATTGCCTGGCATCGGCGATAAGAGCAGCTGCGAAATGACGTGGTGTCGATGCGCCGTGGGCTGTTTCCTTTCGTTGACACCGTGTCCTGCTAGTTTTATGCAGTCGCCCGGCAAAGCCCCGTCCCTGTCGCTGTGAAACAAGACCGAGCCGCATTGCAGCAGGTTGTGCGTCAGCAGCCTCATCTGGGCCTGGCTGGTGATTCTGTGAGTGCTCCCAACACATGCAGCTACTCTGGCAGGTTGAAAGGACCTACAGTGTTTGGCAGTTTGGCCGACGCATCAGTGTTCCGAAAGGAACTGCTGCCTCATCCCTGCTTGCAACCAAACCCAGATTCACGAGCTCACTGCCACTGCTCGGGCTGATGCACTGCCCATGGCTTCAACCCAAACTCTACACTTCAGTTGACAGAATTCGCACTCAAAACATCCAGCAGAATCAATTGCCCGAGGCGAAGGCAGACGGCCGCGCACCGGCTTCGAACTGCCCCCGCTCTGAGCCAAGGAACAACATGCCAAGCCACAGCATGTGAGAGCGTAGATGCTGGCTACTTCGGATCATGGAATTGACTTGAGCTGGGCTTCTACAGTGCATGACTGGCACTCTCAAGTCACCAATGATGGCGTCAACGGCCGCAAACCACATCTATATACCTTCTCGGGCGTTTTTACATTCACAAGTACAGGCCGCCACAAGTATGCTCGGTCTGGTCCACGACCTCCACACATGTGTGTTTAGGGGCGGGTCCCTCAAGCAAGGTCGAATTTGGCGAGGCGGGCACACTAAGGCTCGTTTACGTTTGCCGGTAAACGACCATGACGCGGAAGGCACACTGGATTCCCGAGCACCCCGGGATCAGGTTGAACAATCTGGCGAAGTATCTGCTCTCATCACGACAACCAGATTCCAGAACATGGAACAGGCATGCTCCGGCCTGCTTCGGCGGACGGAACTGGACCTGGCAGTCAAGCCGATGATGCCCCACATTCCTAGAATGAAGCTGCTCAGCTTTAAAGCCGGTTTAAGCGAAGTCCCCACCTTCTTCAGCCGTAGGCCGGTTGCATCCAGGTCCTGCAAAAGCGCCGCCATTCAAAAGCAGATGAGAGGCATGTTCCCCCTCAAGCTATATTGCTAGCAGTCAGGGTGGAATTGCGATGCTCCGGAGCTGCAGCCTCTGCAACTGGCGATCTGACCCCCATGATTGATGCGACTTCCTCCGACTTGTGAGCACGGAGAGGCGAGCGGAGTTGAGCGAAGCTAGGCGAAGCCCGTAAAGCATCTCCTTGGTGTCGCTTTCACACAACTCCACGTCCGCGACGTCCGCCTTAGAGAAAGCAAGTACCGGGCAACCTGAAAATCCCCTGACCAAACTCCGAGAACTGGCACGGAAAGCCGAGACCCTCAAAAGACCACCACATCGGACTCATCGGACAGCAGGCACGGTTTTCAAGTCGTCAGATATTTTCAATGCTGGTTTTCCACTCCCGCCAGAGCAGCCACGAGGCCCTGAGGCGGCTCAAGCTCGTGAAGAAAGCCGACCTAGAATGAGTCGGGGATGCAACTCAACGACTAGTATTGCTTGCTGCTCTACATCTGTCATGTAGATATATCGCATCATGTTGTTGCTCATGGCCACTGCTGCTATCAACGAACACATGTCGATAGACTCCTCTGGAGTAACCACCACGTGAATGTTGGGGGACAACTTGGACAAGTAACAATGCTTAGGCTTAGACCAATGTCCGGCAGCAGAGACAAGAAACGGATGCTTGAGAGTTGCGAGCTAGCTTGAGCTTCCCGCTCCACGGCCGCATCTCGTTCCTGCTTACACTTCAACGCAAAAGCTTCGGACAGCCCTGATCTTCTACCGCTTCTGCGAAGATACCAACGTGAGGTTCCACCCGTGCCGGAGTATCTAACGCTTCTAAGTTTCGAAATTTCGGATTGCAGGCGCACTCTCCGCAACTATACGGCTGTTTGCGCACGTTGTGCTGCTATGCAGCTGTCGATGTTTGCTGCAAGGCAGAGGCCTCGGGATTTCAGGGTGTGGAAGGATGCCCCTCAAACTTGGGGGGAATGCCTTCAACCCCAAATGACTTGTCGCCATGAACTCGAAGCTGTTCTTCAGCGACCGGGAATTGCATTGCCGGGCCTTGTATGCGATGAAAGCAACTCCGCCATCAGGCTGCACCTCGGCAAGAGAAGATCATCCGGTCTGCATCCAAGAAAGCTTTCACAGTGCTCCAGACACAGGTATGACAGTAGCCGCAGCAGCCATCTGACTGCACTGGAAGGCAGAACCAAGCGCTTTGCTGCCTGTCGTCCTCAAAATCGGCGAGCCCTCCCTGAGACGAGCCGTAGTGGTGTTTCCGCAGCCTGGGCTCCCAGGCGCAGGCTGCCACACTGGAGACCAAGGCTTCCTCACCGAGTTTCAATGCAACGCAGGATACGCAGGGGGCTTTGACTCTTTGACTTCCACAAGCAATGCAAAACAAGACCTGTTTCGAGCCAGCCTGAAGTTTAACACTCGAGATGCGAAGGCTCCGTTTCAGTAATTCAATGTTCTTTGGGAATGAGGGTCCCAATGACGGTTGGGGTAAACGTGGTTCGGGGTCGAGGGTAACGGGAAGCTGCGTTTTGCAGAGGCCAGAACAACAACGCGACTAGACTCCACGGGAACACAATCAAGCTTAAAGCTGAAAGACACCGAGCGGATAACCAAATTACAAACCCCAGATCTTGTAGCACTGCCGCGGCGACGGACCTGGAGGGCACTATCGTAGAGGAGGTCTGCCAAGAGCAGGACATCGAAGGGCGCTCCTTCCACACATGCGGCCTGCAAGGATCAAGGAGACAACGGCGGCTACTCAAGCTCGACAACGGGCAACAAAACTGTATCTGTGGAGGTACAACCAACCCTCGGGTTCCGCCCTCTACGCACGCATCACTTTGTGATAAGAAGAATTCTTATTTAATTGACAGCAGCCATCTCAAAGCAGATGCACCTGCACAGGAGGTAAAGCATGCCCACCCCCCGCCCAGGGTGCCTGACTGTAGTCATGGCTCAGAAAAAGTACGTCGGAGGCACCTTGAAGTGGCTTAGCATCCAGCTTTCCATCCAAGCAAGTGTTGCTCTGATCATGCATAGTTACGGAGGCTTCGACACAGGCTGTTTCAGCTCGCAAAGTCTCCAATATGCTGACACAAGCTGTTTGAGTCTTCGGACTCGGGCCAATTGCCGGATTTTGGTGGAAGGGCATCCCCTTCCAGGCCTGACTCACTCAGCACCAGCTGGTTGTGCTGCCGGTTCTCCACAGCTAACTCGACAACCTGCAGCAACAGCTGGTTTCGCAATGTTTCGCAGGCTAAAGCGGCCCAAGATGCCATAACCTGGAGCGCTGGAGTTTCAGCTTGCTGCCACGATCTGATCGAGTCTTGACATCCTTGCCCCACACTGGTTCACATGGGATGTGTCCACATTGCCAGGTAGGGCGGCTTTGCATAACCCTAGCCTCCTGGACGGTAGGTCACATGGTTCTAATGTTGCAGAAACCGAAGGATAAACCGTTCCTCGATCGCTCCTCGCCTGTGAATCAGTCCTAAACTTAGCATCCGAGCTCTCTGAATCCATTGGCTGCAGCCCCTGCCTCTGGCAAATCTGTGGCCACCACTTCTATGCCTCCGCCATCCCAGGTGGTTTGCTTGGGGGATTTGCATCTGGCTACACATATGCCACCCTAACATACCACTTTGAAGTGCTCTGCTGAAAGTAGGTCGACATCTGTGACATCTCGCTCCAGCAGATAAATGACAAGGGCTTGGTTGGAATACCAATCTTAGCCACTAAAGTAAAGACTTCGTGCCTGCCGACCAGTACACTTGCAGGCACACAAGAATACGAGCCCGAAGCCACAACGGCACACACGGAAGTCTGCGAAGTGGAAGACTGAACTCAAAAACTCCATGCCGCGAATGCCTACAGCCTGCAGCTGGGCTCTTGCAACTCGGACTTTGCCAGAGAGGATGGTTCGGGTCGGACGGCCAGCTCATGGGCTTTAAGTTAGTCAGCTCAGCATGAGGTCCGAACAGTTGCAATAAGGAAAGGCCCCCAAGACAACTCAAAGAGCAAGAGGTTCAAGCACACTTCTCATCAAGCAACCGGCCTGGTAGGCAGGAAGTGACGAGCGAAGGCAGCGCGGAGCTGCCACAGCCAAGCTCAAGCCTTACTTCGATGTCTTACGGATCTCGGATGTGTCGGCGCATGCACCGACCGAAGATGCACACACAGGATATTCCAACACCGAAGTGAAAAGAAGACTGAGGCACTGACACTCGCAGCGTCTGATGCGAAGATGCCAGAAGCCCTGGAGATTTTGTTGCAACGGGCACTGCCGAGATGGATGCATGTCTAGCTGCCTGTGCCAAGTACGATGGGGCAATCACTTCAGGCCGTGATCCTCGAGCAATCGCTGGGTATGAATCACCCATCCCAGCTTAACCAGAAACTGCCACAGCTGCTACAGTAGAAGTCATGGGCACGAGGCCCGATATTGGACTGCAGGCAGACCCAACATTGAAGCTGGAAGAATCCCTTGGCACAGGCCGGCAAGACCTTGGCGAGCTATGTACCGGGCCAAGATAACTCCTGAGCCTGAGTCGATCAGAGAAGGAGAGAGCGAGAGGAGAGCGATAGAGAGTGGGAGAGGAAGTGTGAGTGACTCTGTGTGTCTGTGTCTCTCCCTCTCTCTCTCACACTCTCTCTACGAGGTAAGGAGGAAGGGCGTCCAGGCCCCCTCCCCACTCCTGCTCGCTCTCTCTCTCTTGCTTGCGCTCAGCCAAGGAGAGGCATGCACCCCCCCCCCTGTGCGCGTGCGCGCGCTGGTCTTAGGTCGGTTGGTGAACTCTCTCTCTCTCTCTCTCTGTCTCTGTGTCTCCGTCTCTCTGTGTCTCTGTCTCTCTATCTCTTTGTCCTCGCTGTGTCTCTCTGTCTCCGCGTCTCGGCGTTTCTATGTATGTCTGTGTCTATGTCTGTGTCTGTCTCTGTCCCAGTCTCGGTCTGTCTCGGTCTGTCTGTGTCTCTCTCTGTCTCATGCTTGCTTCTGTCTGTCCGTGTCTGGCTTCGTCCTGTCTGTCCATCGGTCCGTCGGTCTGTCGGCCTGCCTGGCTGCCTGCACGCGTGGGCGTGTGTGTTTGCGTAGGTACTTGTGCGAGTGTGCGCATGGGGTGCGTGCGTGGGTGGGTGCGTGGGTGAGGCGGGCGGGAGAGGGTGTTGGCTGGTGGGCTGGCAAGCATGTCGCTCACCGACATGTGCAACTGCTTGAATCGATCTTTGTATATGACTTCGAGCGCATACATCTACCAACTGACAGCTGCATGATCTGCGCAACCGTGTCGGGTTCCTTCAAGAGTATGGCCGTTTACGTCAGATAGAATCACCACTGGAGATTTGTCACGCGAGCACCATCTTTGTTCCTCATACTCTCGAGTCGCCCGCTCACATACGAGGCAGCTCAGAGGGACAGTGCAGGTGTACACTCGTTGTGGCCGGCTCCCGCGAGAGTTACAGTGCCAGAACGGAAATATGCGGACAGTGCTGCAGATGCCATACCTGAGTTCGAAAGTGTCAGCGTGCGGCTGCAGTTCGGCGAGGCCGAGCTCTCGGATTACCGATTGCGGGTTGAAGACTTATGCAGGCATGCAGGATACGGATACTTTTAAGATTTCTGGAGCTCAGTGTTGTGTCACTGAAGGCTCCCCTAACACAACATCGATGCTGCTTGCGGGCAAAGCTGCTCCAAAGCAGTCCTGCAGCAAACCGTGAATCAAGAATGATCAGTATTCAGAACCCACGAACTGCAATGTCTCAATCAAGCTGACACTCTTTGGTCTTTAAAGGGCTTTGACGGGATCGGGTCCTCCCTGCGCCAGTGCTGCATCTTGCCGGAAGGAGAGCTTCACCTGCTTCTGCAGTGCCAAACAACCACAAAAGCGGGGAAAAATGTGCTTAAGGAGTCAGGCCAAGAGCGTGTGGTTGGACAGGTCCTACCTTTCCTAGCACTCCAGATCTGTCAGCGAAGCCGATTGTGCTGCCAGCATTCTTTCATTGTCACCGAGACGAGATGAGCCAAGTCTACATGATCCTCACACTACTGTGCCCGCCTCTTTGCCGTTTGGCAAGCAGACACCAACGGCTCGCTCGGCCTTTCCATGGTGATGCCAAGCCGACGGCTTAGATGTTGGAGGGAGAACCCTGAGCTTCCGAGAATTTTTGGGACTATTTTTCCTGCAAGGTGTCCTGAACTGGTGCGGCTGGACACCAACCCTGATGCTTCCGAGCAAGTTTGTTTGCTACAGTCTTGATTGGGAGAAGGACCAGAACCCTCCGAGAGGAAAGCAAGGCCTGGAGAGCTGTTGGCTCGTGCAGCGCCTTGGCGTCTCGGCTTCGACTCCCAAGCAACGGAGAGGATCAAACCACGCAGCCACAGCCACAGCCATCCACGAAGAGCAGAGCAGCACGGCTCTTTTTCCCAGGGTGCCACGGCAGTCACGCTGAAGCTGATCCCTGCTAGATACTTTCTACCTGCTTACGGCCTACAGTTCTTCTGACCTTCCTACCTACCGTCCTACAGGCCTACAGGGTTTTGCCTGCCAGATCATCGACTTTGCTTCCGTGCTTTTGTGCGAAATGCGAGGCACGAGGTGAAACGGCCGAGCTGGGAACAGAAGGAAGGATTGAGATGTCGAGTAGATAGTTCCCAGCTTCGGGTACCTACCTAGCTACATCTTCAGATGCCTGCCTGACCACTTTTGTGGGGCCGGGACCTGAGCTAGCAGTGCCCATGGCACAGTACCTGATTCTTCGCATCTGTGTAGGGCTCCAAAACGATACAATACACCCTGCGGTGTGTAGACTTCAGATCCATAGAAACGGCTTGGAGCCCTACCTACTTGGGTGGAAGTATGTCTGGCAGGCTTGGGGTGGAGGTCTTCAGCACTGGGTCCACTGTAAGGGGCGTGTGGGGACGTGCCCAGTCCGTCACCGTGCGGAAGGGGCGCTTGTTGGGAGCCTCGTTCCGGCGCACCCGGGTGATAGGGTCCGTAGAAAGGTTGGAAAGGGACAGGTCGACTGCGGAGCTCGAGGGCCGTATCCGGGAAGAGCCCTCGAACAGATTTTCATCGTCGAAGAAACCTCGGCTGCGCCCACCCGGGCCGAGCCAACGATCTTGCAGGACGGCGTTGACATGGAGCGATTCCTGGAAACGCTTGATGAAGCCTTTGATCTCAGGAAGCTGGAACAGGAGCTCGCATCTCTTCAGACAATACTTCACATCTTTGACGATTCCACTCAGCAGCTCTGCGTGCTCTGGTGCTGCAGCATGCACATGGTCGCCCAAGAATGTCAGTTTCTCGTCCCAGTCTCCAGGCTCCCCATTCCATTCAAGGCACCCCGTTGCCTGTTCCTCACCGGTGAGCTCCGGCACTTCTGGCGCAAAGCGCTCGCGCTCGCTTTCTTCAGCTTCAGGCCCCATCGCAAGCCCGCTTGCTTCGGACTCGGCTTCTGTGGCGGAGCCCATGCCCGTCCCCGCTTCCGTCGGGTCCGCCGTCGGAGCGACACCCTCGCCTTCGGCTTTGCTGCCTTTGCGCTGCTCCAAGGCCGACATGCGTGCCTCCAAGGAGTCCAGCCGCCCGAAAATCTCTGCGGACCTGGACGCCGGCCGCGGAATCGTGGGAGCCTCCCCTGGCGCAGGGGGTCCCTCCAGAATGGCCAAGCCGTCAGACAAGGTCTCCACTGCAGCGGCCAAGTCCCGCACCTGCATGCAAGAACAAAAACCGAGCATTCACCAGAGATGCCCGATTCACTTCAGCCGTCTTGAAAGCAAAAACGGCACTTAGATAATAGCCACACTGGGCATGCGGCGGGAGCAATCCCTCGCAGTCTTACGCTGCCACGCCGGTTTTGGACACGGTTCTTTCTCAACTCGCCGACACCCCATCATGCCACGCAGTCTCTCTTCCCTTCTTCCGAAGCCTTGGCCTCCATGCTTCCCACGCGCACCTGCACGCAAGGAATCATCCGGGAAAGGGACGCTGCATCAAGGATGTGTACGGCTCTCTTCAACCTGTCAGTCTTGCATAATCTTGCTTTGCTCTTATCCTTCAGCTGCATTAGTCTGTTACAATATGTTAAAATAATATGTGAACACAGCACCCGCGTAATTGACACCCTGGCCTTGGCCTTGACAGGCCTGAACCCTCACTCGTCGGTTTATCACCCGAGTGATCTCAACCCTGCATAACTTTCAACGATCGCCAGCCTCCAACTGCGGTGCTGCTGGTGCCACAGCTGCAGCTCCGGTCTCTGGCTGAGCCACGGTATCGCCGGAGTGAGGATCCTTGAAAGACTTCAGCTCCACGAATTGGCGTGCAAGGTTTGGGAGTGTCCCACCTCCGCGGTCGCAGGCCGCCTCAGCTCTGCCACTGCTGTTTCGAGGGCAGAGACCTGAAACAGGGCTAGGTAACTATCAGCATAGGTAACCAAGCAATTGAGCAAAAAAGCAAGACTGCAGCAGGAGAAAAGCTGCAGTCAGCAACGAGAGAAAGAAGCAAGCAGCGTGCTCGCAAACCACACACCCAAATATGCGACCAAGACAGACCAAACCGCTTCTTGACTTTTGTCCACGTCCGGAATCTTCACCTTGCCACGGAACCGACGATCGAATTACTTTTCTGGTCAGGGGGTGAAAATGACCAAGCCAAGAATGGCGGCCCTCACCTGCGGCCACTTCGGATGATAGAAGCCCACACAGCAGATCCGATGAGAGCTAAGAGTCTGCAGGCACCCAAGAAGGCGAAGCTTTCGGCACGACTGACTCGCGGCCAGGAACCGCACGTGCGCCCAGCCTGCTCTTTGAGCTCCTGGAGCGTGGACCTCGCTGAAGCTCCGGGCTGCACTGGACGGGTGAGCTGCAGGTTTTGCATTTAAGCAAAAATGTGTGTATATATATATATATATATATATATATATATATGTATACGTATATGTGTGTGTATGTGCATACATGATTATATATGTAAACATATATACACATGTCATACGTAGTTACTTACTAATCGAACTTTTGCCTGAATACATGGGCACCCCCCTGCGTCACACTTGATTCCCCCGAACTCGAACCATGCCTGTCGCATATCTCCACACGAGAACCGGCGAGCATGTAACTTCAGAAAGCGTACAAAAACAAAGGGGCCCAGGAGCAAGATGGTAAGTCGGGCCACATACAGCATTGCCTTTGCAATCCTTAAGCATGTTATCAAGTGCGGGGGCATCGACGGGGTTTTGGTACTGGGGCTTCGAGGACAAGCAGACTTTGTCAGAGCCCGCGTGCCAACAAGTGCGCCGTGATCACGTGAGTGATCTCCCTGCGTCACGTTTCAAGCAAACAAACCCAGCTCGCTCCGTGTCGCAAAACCGCCCCAGCTTGCATTCCTTTTCAAACCGCCCTGGCAGACTCTTCGGCAGGACAGCTTCTCTGCAGCCTGGGCACTTCTCCGACGTGGGTGTGAGCTCCGCTGTCATCTCGGCATCCGCCGCCTTCGCCTCGGCCTCCACGGCCTCCAGAACGGCAGCCTCTCGAGACGGCAGCCGGTGTGAATCTAAAGCATCGAAGCAGCGCCTGATACCAAAAGGATCCACGAGCCCTTCGATGCCTCAGAAGCGTTGTTCTGCTCCTGGTTCATGGAGACTTCGTTTGCATTCCTGAGAGCTACCGATGGCTTGAGGCTTCGGGGCTCTCGGAGTGTGCACAATCGGGCCCTGGTTTCGACTCCCAAGTTGTCAGCTGAACATGCAGCGCGCGCGACGGTGATGAGGTCTTTTGGGCGATCATTCAGAAGGAGACCCATCACATATGACTACACCGCGACAACTCCCATATCAAAGCCTGGCGCATGAAACCGGGCAGATCTCGTCAGCAAGTCTTTTCGTCAGCTATCAGTATCGTATGACAGAGGTAAGGAGCATAGAACATACAACCGCGCAGGGGGGTAAAGGGTCTTCGCATGTTCAACCGGGAATTGAGGATTGCCCGTTTATCCTGACCTTGAGGGAACTGCTTCTATCCACGGGTCGCGACACCTCGCAAATTTGGGTGGATGCCATGTGCCCGCGATACCTCACACCTCGAAATTCTTACGTGGTCAGTTGACGGACATCTACCGATTGGGCCCCAGCCCAGCGGTTGGGATGAGGCGAGTGCCTTGAAGCATTAGACTCTGCGAGTGCGAGCCAGTTGCGGCGCCAAGGCTTCTGCTACAACAGCGCGGCATGTCCTTGGCGAGGTTTCTGATTAAGCTGAACTGCAGCTTGTGGCATGAGGCAGCTGAAGCCCCTCGATGCAGTTCAACAAACCACGTGACCCTGCAGTTGTCGTGCCTGAAGTGCATGGCTGCATTCATTCCGGGGGAACTCAAGTGAACGAACAATCGTGGCCTCTGAAAGCTGCAGCACTTCGAGAGCGCCACACTTCCAATGCAAGAGAACCCAGGTGCGCCTACGCCTAGGCCGTAGATTCAGGAGCACTCGAACTCGAGAGGATCTCAGCCACACCCTGCGAAATTGCGGTCTCGAGCTTCTCTTCGAGCTGCTGGGTGAACTGAATCTTCAACTCTGCCTCCAAATGTCTCGCTGCATCTCTCAGGGAACCGGGGCGGGGGTCCGAGCTTCTTCCGAGTTCGACTGCGACTCTCATGGCTACGGCCCCCTGCTAGCTGCACGGCGAAAGATCGACGAAGCTGGAGCTCCTTTCGTGATCCGCACCCGGCTTGTCTCTCTTTCACATGGCTGCGTCGGCAATTCTAGCCTGTGGGCTTCGTTCGCACTACAGCCAGCCTATACAGCTTTCGCTTGATCTACAAGGCATGAGAAGCATGAGCCTCCAGTCGCGCGAGCTCTTGGGAAATGATGGCCTTGTGCCGGATAATTTGGGAGCGGGCTTCAGATTTGCAGCATGTTCCATCGACCACTTCTCCGACGAGCACGGGGGTTTGAAATTGCAGCGGCGGTACCGTGCTGGTATGAGATCTTTCTGCGCCCGGCAGAGACTTCGTCTTAGGTTTTCGGCTCAGGGCTGTTTTCGCTTTTCTGTGGTGATGTGTGGATTCGTTTAGGCTTAAGCTTACGAGCCTGAGCCGCAGACAGCTTAGTGACCCTTGCTCGACTGCTTCCAGAAAGTTGTTGGCTTCAAAGGTGTGGATCTCAGTTAAAGCTCTGGAACAACCAAGACCGCTCTACGGCTTCCCGACAGCACCTACACCACGACATGTATCTTGGGCATGGAATCCGCCTCTCAACAGACGAGAACAAGAGTCCTACAAGTAGCACCCCGGAAAGTACTGAAAGTATTCCAGTGCATGATAGAATCGAACAATACCTAAACAGCACGCTGAACTGTTGCGGCGCAATCCGTTCAAACTGTTCGCGGTCCTGCAGATCAGCAGCAGCGCCAAGAGCAGCATCAGGCTCATCGACGGCCTCGTAGGCTTTCAGAGAACGCTTTCTCTCATGTCACGGCAGTCACCGTTCGCACCATGCTAAAGGCTAAAGGCCTTCCTTTTGCTGGGTTGCAACACAAACCTGTACAAAACATATGGCCGAAAAGCAACGCACACTGTCACACCCTGTCTCCGATGGCACCTGCGACTCCGGCAGCTCCGGCGCAGCCTCTAACGTGCCTCCTTCCAGGAAAGACTGCTGGAGCAGGGCGTCTAATCCCTTCCCCCTAATATTAAACGCCCCCCTCCCCCCCCCCTCCCTAATATAAAAACCGGATTTCGGAGGTTTAGTTTTAGTATTAGGGGGGGTTTCGGTTCGGTGCATCCACGTACCCGGACTCCCAGCTGCTAGCTATCCTAAGCCTGGAGCCCTGAGGCCCCACTAAAGCCCCAAGCCCTAAACCCTAAACCTCGAGCCAGAGACCCTAAAGGCCTGAGCCCTGAACCCTTAAACCCTAAAGCTCTGCTGTCTTTAGTACTACTGTAGTCTTCGTTCAATTAAATCACATACAGATCTAGCCCCCCCCCCCCCAATCTTGTCCCGTTTAAATTGAATGTGGGGCCCGAAACCGCGAAATTCGGGGTGCCGGGAGTTTTTATATTAGGGGGGGTTAACTGATAGGGGGTATGGATTACTGTCTAATGAAGCTGAAGGAAGACTTCGGTGGTGCCTCGGCCGTTGTGGACAGGAGAAGTTAGGATGTCCGGCTCATGTAGCAGAGTTGTACAAAGCAGCAGTTCCAAGTGCCCCTGCTGCACGGTCAGACCTGACGTACATAGCATGTAGAGAACATGCCGAACGATGCAAACATCGAGGCAAGTGTCCTGCTTCGGGCGGCACGTTCGGGAGCTCCTCCACATCGACCTCCTATCGCGAAGCGAAGGATTGTCACTTGTTGCTTCTCCAGGCGCGAACCGAGGATGGGCAAGTCCTGCTTGAGGTTTCTTGCATAGTTCAATGCTCATGCTGCAAGTTGTGCCTAGAAGTTTGTGGAGCAAATCAGGCTGTTTTTGTTGCATCACTTGTGCAATTGCCTGAAGGTCTGAGCAGTCGGAGGTTGAGCTCTCTTGACTGCGCTTCCATGGCTTGCGAAGGGACCCCCTCAAAACACCCACCCACCCACCCACCCGCACCCACACACCCACACACGCACACACAAGCGCGCGCACAATGATCATTGCTTCCGAACCTCACACGCGGCTTCATCGAGGACTTGGAATGGTAAAGTCAACAGCAACAGCTCTCAGGCTCAGATCTTTTGTTGGGTTAAGGTTGCATCCAGACTGACGCAACGAAACATCCGAAGCCTCAAGCCACACCTCAATACCGCGAACATCCGAACATCCTCGCCCGTTTCAAGCGTGTCGCGAATCTAAGAAAGCGCAAGACGATCACAGAACATGGAACCATATAAAGCAATATTCTACTACGTACGCTGCGTATGCTATTTGTATGTTGACATGCTAGACCATGATGCACTAATAACATTGCACACATTGAGAACACATACACGAAAATAGACGAAACAGCACTAGATGATACCTCTACTACAATCAGCCAATACATATATATATATATATATATATATATATGTGCATATATTATATATGTTACGCATGTATGTTGAAACCTGTGCATAGTGTCACCTATACGTGCGCATATTCGAGCGGTCCGAGGCAGCTCGACTCTGCACTTTCTCAATCACGTCTTTGGTGTAGTCCGCTGCGATCTCTGCTACAAGTCCTGCCACGTGCTTGCCATGAAGCGCTTGAGATCCAATAAGCTTGGACTGGCTCCAATAGTCAACAGTTCTCACGGAGTTGCCGAAATGCTCGGACTCAGACTGCTGTCCTTGTCTGCATATACACATGTACAGAAAAGTGTATACAAATATATGTATATACATAAACATGCATACATACCCCCATATGCACATACACATATATGTATAAAAATACACATATGCGTCTATGCATCGTGTACATATACATGCATTGACACGAGCACATGTAGTTGCTCTTCTTTTATCTCCCTGTGTTTCTGCCTCTTCCGGGAACTCCGCTTATGCGGTAGATCCGGTGCATCTGGCCTGCGCCCGGGCCTCCGTGTGACTTTGCAGACGCCTCGCAGTACAAATCTCGACCAACACCATCACGACTGCGACTACAGTACTCGACATCTCATTTCACAGGCTCAGGGTTCTGCCCACGCAAGCGGAGGCGAGGTGGGCAGTGAGAGGGTGGGGTTCGTTTCCTGGCCCAACTTGCATTTTTGCAAAGAGCACCATGTCATGGCCTGGATCGACTCTATCTCGATGCTGAGCTTGCCCAATGAAGCGCGCCTTTCCCAAACATTCAACGAAAATACCTTTTAGCAGGTTGGAACTCCTAGGTCATAGCTTGGAGATGCACCGGGCAGTCTGCTTTCTGTGCATTCGGTGACCTACCCGATCCTGGGTGTTGACGCTTCGGCATTGGGTGTTGCTCATGAAGGTGATAGAGATCCCGCAGGCCATTGGGTTGATGCTGTCCGAGCTGCTGCTCATGCACCGCTTGCAGCAACCAGTTCACCTCACGCTGCAGTTAGGGCACAAGGGCTGTGGGTAGATGCCGTCTGTCAAACAATCACGTGGATCGAAATAAAACCATGCAACCCTAAGATCTCCCTCACAAGCATCCGGGTCTTTGGTGCGCAAGACTGTCACAAGCCCGGGAACTTTGTCAGGGCTATAGACTCCAGCATGAAAAGTGTCCATTTCAAGTCCCGTGCCCTTGGTAACCGCAGCTGCCTTAACTTCGTTCCAACCCAACCCTTGCAAACCGAATTCACGGCCACACAGCCTGACCGCCATCTTTCAAGACCTGCTGCCCGTACAACTGCATGGGAGCCTTTCTAACAACAGAGCCGTCGGTGCTTTCCATCTTTCACGGGTCACGTCCCTTCCCGCCCACTGTTTTTTCCAAGCCGCCGTTTCCAGAAGAGGTGCAGACTGAAGTGACAGGTGCCTGGGCTCTTTCAGTTAACCTTCCCATGCAGAAGGCGCGCCCTACTAACATTCCCAGAACGCAATCTGCAACCTGGGCTGGCTTTGTCGTGGACTACCAGGCTGCCCCATTATCTTCAATCTCGGAAGTCCCACAAGACTCTGCAGTAGATTGCCGAAGTGCGAAGCGTCAAGCGTGAGCCCGTGGGGCGGCTCAGTGGCACTTTGCCTCAAAGAAAGGTGCTCGGGTGCAGCCCCTCCTCTTTCCACTCGCACACTCGCTCAAAGCACGTACAGATTCGGGCGCAGGGTCCAACGACTTAGGGAAGAATGCGTCTGGCTCACCCAAACACTCGGGCTACCTAGCACCAAAGGGTGCCGAGTCCGCACAACTGCTTCAGGCTCCTCTTTGGATTGAGGCCTTATGTCCCAGAGAGCCGCACAAGAGCTCACGCATCCCTCAGGGAGCACTGGGCTTGTAAGGCATGAACTGATGGATTTCTGTGTTATCTTGCATCTGTGGTTTTCTGGCCCCTGACACCACGATGCTGGTGGGGGGGGGCCTTGAGGAACATCTACGAACCTTCGAGATTTTCAGGACGGCACGCGACGTAACGAAGCCCGTGGCAAAGCTCAGCCAAAACATGCATCAAGACTTCGTGCCGGCATTCAGGGGTTGAAAGCTTACATCACAGTTCCGTGGGGACTGAGGGCACGGCATGACTCCCCCAAGTTCGATATGGAGTCGCCTTAGCACTAGGCCGGCTTCCTGCAGCCTTTCTGAATCTTTGTGATTGCCAGGTGAATTTCTGGACAAACCTACCAGCCAGGAACACTTTGCAGGCCGCTTGAACCTTGCCGTAACTGAAAAATCTCCTGGCGTTTGAGCTGCCTTCAAAGCCGTGGACTTGTAGACTTGTGGGAAGCTTGCACAACTTCGTTTCCAAACCGCCCTTCATCACGCAGCGAAGCCTGTCTGAGCACCCGGCTTGACCTCATATCCAGACCACGGCGAGGCAGAACAGAACCAAACAGCAGCGGGTGGGAAAAGCTTACGCCGAAGGTTCCGGTGGCACAACAATGACAAGCTTTAAGTGCTTTCGGCTAGCATACGAAGTCACTCTAGTTTTCTGGTGGCCCGTCTAAACTATAGCTCTTCTCGTGGATCTCATATTCGGGCCGAGTCCAAGGGATTAAAATGAAAACGACAGAGGATGTGACCTGCTCTTGGACCACCCTCCTGCCAGCCCAATATTTCAATACAAGCTTTTATCGGCCCTTCTACCCGGCCAGTTCGAAAACCCCCACAAGTACTATTACTATCCCTCAAACCCTCGCCTCAAGCCAACCCAAATCTCCAACCTCAAAAGCTACACCCAGCAGTCTACAAGCTGAAGCCACCCGTGCCAAAAACAAATTCTTGGCAGGCCCGCTTTATGTGCTCAACTGCTGCATCTATATAACCATAACAGGTGGCAGTTGACCAACGCTCGATGCCTGCAACGCAGACGAATTGGAAACATGGGTCAACAAGGTTCCTGCGGAGAGCAGTTAAGCGAAGGCTGAGGGCATCTATAGCGCAGTTCTTGACTCCAACGACTCGAGCATCCCTGAAGACTGGGACCCGGCGCCAGCAGCGAGGCACGCAGCGTCCGCTGCGCGACCAAATCAGCAGCCAAGCGCCGGCCTCGGCTCCACACGATGCAACATTGCATCTCCGCCGTGCTCGCCCTCCCCCAAACCCACCTGCACAACCTGTAGAGAGACTTTCGCTCCGAAAGCGTCCATCGCTGCTAACGGAAGCAAGCTGCGCTCCCTCTCCAGTTCCTGCAGCCGCTGGAGGGCCTCGACAAGTGGATTCTAGTGCGCTCTCAACGAACTGCAGTGCCCGCCTCCTCTGCCGAAGCCGTGGGCCGGTAGCCTGCGGAGTCTCGGGTGCTTTGCCCGAGGTTTGGGCACATGCAGTACACACACACACGCGCGCGCTCACTGAACACTTACAGAGAAAATGGCGACGCCATACATGATCAGATGACACCAATTGTCAGGAACTCTGCTTCAGATGATGATGCTTACTTTTGCCGTAGTTCTCGAAACTAGAAACTCTTTGCAAGCGTGAACTGCTTCTGCTATCCCCGCGCGCGTGCAGCCCCGCCACTTTTCACCAGCCAAACGGATCAGGCGTGGTAGAAGATTGTATGTCGTGGAAGTCGCATGCCTCCAGATATCTCTGACCTCATCTGCCCAGCCAGGTCGTGGCCATAAAGGCACAAGGGGTCTTGTGAAGAGATTGCTTCTGCATCTTGGGTCGTCTTCCCGGCTTGTGATGAAAGAGGTTTGGATTCGGAGCAGTTCAAACACACCCGAGTTGCCGAAAGTAGGGACCTGCCTGTGGCTCCCTGTTCAATCAGGTGCTCCAAGAACTGAGACATCCGTCTCTACAGTAGGTCCTACATCGGTGTCAGCCCGTGGCATGTTACGCTATGACTGAGCCCCACTTGAAGCAGGCATTGCTGTCGGCTGCAGTCGCGGATCGGACGCGATGACTGCGACAAGATGTAGGCAGTTTCTCCTCCTTTCGCCAACACCCGCAAATGCGCTGCCAGCCTGAAGCCGAACCAGGGCCACTAGGAATCGCGAGCACGTTTTCACAGCGAGCCCGGGAATCGATTTGCAGTGACCTTGTGCACCGCTTCCCCTTGATCGAGGACTCGGAGGCGCATCCTTGAAATTGGGCTTACGTGCGCTCACGCCATGTCAAGCATCGAAGCCCAGACGCGTTTGCCTACCTCTCACAGCTTTCGGGCCCAAACTCCCTACGAAGCTACAAAGATTGATGAGACTTCAAGCCTACATGACCGGGCCCTGAAGATTGCACACAACTCGGGCTGATTGAACTGCACCGGTCTGCATTGGGGGCGGGAGCTTTATGAGACACTGTCAGAAGCCACACATTAATGACAACTCACAAACGAGAATACTCGCCTTCCTTCATACGCTCTATGCTCAAAGGCTCTCTTTTAGCGGAAATGTTTGCAAGGACCTGATCGAATATTCGCAGCCAACTAGAAGTGCGGTGGGAAATCTCCGCTGTATGTAGGCTCAGGCCCAAACAGCCCCCAGCCTGCACAACACGCCTTGAGATGTCATGGGAAACAGCAAATACAGCTGCGATGATGATATATACAATGAGGGATGACGCAAGCGACTCGATGACTTTCTGCCTCAGGCGCCTCAGATCACGATCTCGACCGACCTCGTCATCCCAAGCTTCTTTCTGGCCTCTTCAAGGATGGCATCATCACTTGGCGTTTTGTTGACCTTAGCTGCTGATGTCGAGCTCTTTCAAAAGCAGCTGCAAGCCATAAATCCTTCCTCCCTTGAAGAAGTATTTATTCTCAACATTGGTTTTAGATGCAAATATCTAGATCGGATATCAGGAGGTGGCTTGGGCTTCGGTCGGATGAGCCGGGGATGGGACAGCAACCATCATAATTCATTTTTGCCACCCGCCCAGCTGAAACATGTCGCACCGCAGGGAACTCGTCAGAACTTATTCATGAGTCGGGATAGTTCTTGAATTGGTTTTGCAGGCTGGGCCCTTGAACCCTGCAGACTCTATTTCGAGGCCCTCCCTGCAAGCGCCGAAACCCAGCTACTACGCTTTGATCGAACCCTTAGCTTCGCACAGGACTCCCTAGCTTCGAATGCTACTCCTCCTCCAAATGTTAACAAGTACTTGCATTTGGTAGCAACTACTGGTGGTGACTCAAGTTCTTACTCCTCTTCGTCCTCCTCCTCCAGTTTTTTAGAGTGACTACGGCTAATGAAGGTCCCAATAGGTCTAGTACAGCTCTGCTTGTTCATCCGGTGCTGGTTGTCCTCTACCATATCATATTCGTTACATTAACTGCGATCCCGAACCGCTGCAAACGCCCCGCCTGGCAATAGTAAATATCCGGTCGTTCTTGTTCCAGTCAACGAGAAATATCACGGGCACGGAATTCAACTCTGCAGATGTGCCAGTTCTCGTTTCGACGAGAAATTCTTACAGGCACGGAATTCAACTCTGCAGATGTATCCGTCAGTACCACTACAAATCTGCACACTGCAGAGACAAACGCGCAGCTAGCATACCAACATGCCCAGCTCAGCTCCAGGAAAACACCTACTACGAGTGTACTTACCCGCATGTACCGCTGGGTGAATCCCGAGTTCTTGGAACTGGCCTTCGTAAAGAAAACGGCAGAACTGCTGCCAAACTACCGTCCCCCCAAAGCCACCGCAGCCAGCGTCCAACTTCCCGGAGGGCGTAAAGTAGCGATTGTCATGCCTGGGTTGCCGATTATGATAAATCGAAACACTGATTTGTTTGCCCCGTCCTGGCGACACTTGCAACTTGAGGCAGCATGCTCAGGATGATCGTGAAGCTTGCACGGCAAACCTTGACCAGTGCTGCATGCCAAGGTGCATACGGTTGCCCAGGCATGTGCCCACGCTGTCCGAGGTCATGACAACGTAATTTCCTTTGACACGCATTCGGAGATTGGAGATCCAGTCAATGGTGCGGCATCTGGTGACGAAGAAGCGCATGGCACCAAGGCCCACATATGTGTAGGTGTGGACTTGCTGGCTGCATGCTGCTTCGCCCACGAAGGTCCAAACAATCAATCGAACACACGTTCTGGAGACTTGCCGAACCAGATCTTAGGTTGAGCTATGCTACAATGCACGATACTTGTAACATAACGCTGCCTGGACTTACCTACAATGCATCCATACGGCCATACGGGTCGACATAACATAACATGCACAGACATACAAAAGCATTCAACAGCACATACCCACATGCACACATACGAAGGCATGCACACGAATCAAACAAACAAACCAACATACATGCATTCATGCATACATAGTTACATACCTACACCCATATATTAATATATGCATACATACATACATGCAGCATACACGCATACACACATTGACGTATACACATATACATATATAAGCGTATACATATACAGATACATAGACATATACATATACGTACATACATACATACACACACATAAACCGTCCATCCAACACATGCACATATCCATCCAATCCATCCAATCCATCCACCATCTGTATATACATGTAAATCCTTACCTACACACATACTTACATACTGTAATACATGCATGCACACATACGCACATGGCTGTGGCGAGTGTTTCCGTAGTATTGCTGCTGCCGTGACCCTCCTGATACTGTATGGTTGTTGCTGCTGATCGTCTGACATCACTGTCAATTCCAGCCGCCCGGCTTTCCTAAAGGCCTGCAGCAACCAAGCAGCCAAAAAAGTAGTCTTCGTGGCCCGCAATGGTCTCACAAACGCCCAAGGCGTGATCCACCTTGGATTGGGCTCTGTGCAACTCGGTGTGGCTTGCGATGTGCGGCCGGGCCACATAGGCATCCACATTGTCATAATGGTGGTTGTCATGTCCACCAAAATCGTTCTTCATTGCCTGGATCAGCTGAGAAAAAGCGCTTCTGCACCAAGAACATCCCCAGAACATCCCCGTCAGAGCCTGGCCTGGCCGCCGTAGACCAGGAAGTTGTCGTGGGTTTTGTAGTAGCAGCTGCCATCATCATTGTCCACGTCCTCCTGGCAGGAGCAAGTGGGGGAATTCGGAAGCCGCAACTCACCATGAGAAAATCGAATAACGGCCATCCAATTTCAGGCAAGTGAAGGTAAACATGATGCTCAAGGCCCTGGACCCACGCCAAAGTCTGCACGGCTTCTGGGCCGTTGAAACAAATGTGCGTGAAGATGCTTGAAGAACTTGAACCCTAAACTGGTCAAGAAAATGTTCAATCCCACGCTAACGCAAAATCGGGCCATCCCCCCCCCCCCCCCCTCCTGCACGAATGGCAAGCAGGGCTACAGAAGAGATGCAGTGGGCATACACCCAGAACGAAGTGCTTCCCAATGAATGCTCACAGCACCCAGCCCTTGGTGCACAAGGCAACATGCCCTGGCCTGCACTTCCCACACACCGTTAGGTGCCACACTGTCCAGCAAACGTCTGACTAGATGGGACATGTCTCTGCATGTCAAGCAGGATGAGACGCCTCATTTCAGGCCCCACTTTGCTTTACAACGACGTGGAGGGAGACTCTACAGTATGGATCGTCAGCGTCTGCTTGGAGATACCACATGGCAATGCGGGCTACCACAAGCTCTACCGGTCCTGTGGCGAGTAGTTGTCGATGAAGAAGTTGTGATGAATTTCCCGCCACTGCATGATCATGGAGGGCTCCTCGGATTCACGTTAGTTACATCTTCAGCTGTGGGAAATTACTCCCGCCAGATTCGAAGCAATAGCAATGGTCCTGGTATCTTTGGTGAAACAAACAACTGCCTTCTTCAACAAGACTACAGGTGCAGGCAATATCTCCGATTGAAAGTCACGGGCTTGGGATGCCGCGTCTTTCAGCAAACGTGAGCACGTGTCCACACTTGTATACCTCTATGTGCTATTTCTTGGTCTATTGATACAGTATTAAAACTCGTGCCATACACTGATATAATAATCCGAAACCTTGTTTATACACATACATCTTGAAATACTGACCTACCGAAATATGAAGATAGCAAAGCAACGTATGAATTGTATGCGTGTTGGTAAACAGATATGCCAATCGCCGAACATATCAACATCCTTGATCAATCTTGAAGCTGCTGAACAGCCACAAACAAATCAATCCTCAAGCTACCGAGAACAGAAGTCAAGACCTCATGCTCTAAAGACCTTACAAAAGAAATTGAACATGCTAAGCCTTCCACAAGCAAGAGTTCGGCCGGAACTCCCCCGTTCGCACTGCGGTCAGGAAGGGCTGTCGATCCCAGGAGTTGAAGGGGCCATGGTCACCGCTCTCACGGCAAGTGGAGAAGACCTGTTCCCACCACGGGCCATGGTTGCTTCCATGCGTGCAAAGGAGACTCTTTAAGGTGCCTAATTGGTCATCTCGCTCTTTGCCTACATTCTGGCTTCTTCTGAGTCAGGGCCTCAAAGCTTGGCTGCCCCAAGTATTGCTAGCTGCTACCACTGTCGAAGGTGACGGGAAGTCGTTCAGTCCCAATCCAAGTGCTGGCTGATGTACCAGGTTGAAGGCAATCTCATCCCCTCCGCCGAAACCTGGGCAGGCTTTTGCTTTTTTCGAAGTCTCAGCGACTGAAGTCCTTACCTTCGTCTAGGGAAAGCATTGCTGTCAGCCCAGCAGCCGTCGTTCATGTTGATTCCGGCACGAGGGCCGTTGAAGAACACGTTCGAAAGCACCTTTGACCTGGTGCATGGAGTCAGAGTCTTCGCAGTGAAGGCTTCACAAATGCTGGAGCCGTGGGGCTCTTGCAGCGCTTCAAACAACAATGGGGAAAAGCAGCGGTGTGCAATATGGCAATATGCTATCAATCTCTCTAAGGCTTCATGTCCACATTCGGCCCTCCACTGCTTCGTGTCCAAATTCGGCCGTCTACTTCAGCAATATCCATCCCCAAGAACTACTCAACCCTCCGAGCACGCAGTTTCTCGGGCTTCGGCTGAGCAGTTTTGGCCTGCACGAAGAAGCTGGATTGCTTCCTCCGTCAGGTGGCGACTCTTCTTCGAACGATAGGTAGGAAAACGCTTGCTGCTTGATGTTCTGCACCAACCGCGAAATTCCCAAAGCATGAGCAAGAGACCCCGCATCTGCAAGTCACTGGCATTTTGCCCGGCAGAGGGAACAAGATCTAGGACCAAACAAGTAACCCTCAAAATGAGCTACAATCCGCAGAATTGCATAGCAAAGTGTCTCGTAGAGGCCGATCTCGCCTACAGGGATCACGGGTCTTGAAACGTGCAAGGTTCCAGGCGCTTCCATGGACATGAAGACAAACATACAGATACCAAAAGCCGAAATACATAGAAATAGACATCAACACACAAGTCCGTACACATGCAGTACATACACGTACACGCTACGCGTTGCGAGCGGCACACTAAGTTACCCATGCACATACGCATACACATCCTTGTTAATACCTCTAACCATGTCCATATACATCCATCTGTCGATGCCCCGCTTTTTACATACATACATACACATACACATACATACATGCTCACATGCTCCCGGTGTGCACATACCCAAACAGACCTGCCTCTACATGCACATCCTTCCATCCATGCATCCATCCATCCATTCATGCATCCATCCATCCATCCATCCATCCATCCATCCATGTAGTAAGTCTATTGCATACGGACATGCAGACAGGGGCGCACAGGCATATAGGGATACGCCACCCTGGATGTACCTGCACCCACAACCACGTTGCATGAACAGCTGTGGCTTGCATTTACTGGCTTTCTAAACTGACATAGAACTCGAAGGTGTCGTGATCAGCTGCTAAACATCACATACGCCATGCGCACTGATAGCACCTCCTGTTGCATGTATTCACGAAATAAAAACCGGGAGATAGGGACAGACTCACAGACAGGCAGACAGACAGGGACAATAACACAAGCCAGGGAAAACGCATGGCACGAATAGGCCAGTGCACTTACGAATCTTATGCACGTCGACCATTGCACTCGGGATCCTACGTTTTTGGGGGGCCAATCATGTGCGACACCTCGTCTCTAGACTCTAGACTATCTTAAATCTCTGAGCCGCAATCCCCCAACTCTCGAAGGTCTGTCTACGCATTGATTGAATATCCACCGCAGCCAAGCTACGGGCCGTGCAGTTTTGCACTGTGGTACGAAGCGGATGCTCGCCGTCCTCTGCACGAGCAAGGATGCTGTTTCACAAAACGCCAATGGCAAGCACCGTTGATACGTGCACCTCACATATGCTGTTGGGGCGGAGGGGCTGCTTTAGCTCTTCCGTTCGAGTCGTCTACGACTCACCTCCCGAGGATTTGGACAGATATCGCGCATGTCTTCAGCACTGCAATGGCCTCTGCCAAAGCTGGCTCTTGCAATACCGATCTCCGCTGGACTTTCACCGGGACCCTCCCTACAGCCGACATTGACTTGTCCCGGTCCGTGCCGTCCACACCAGCCGCCGGTGCATTTGCAAGGATGATGCCCGGTCTGCCCCTGTCGGTCCGGGTTTCGTTAGTGTACCTGGGCAGGGCTCTGCGCGACGCAGCTGCACGGTGCAGGTATGACAGCTACGACAGATTGTGTGCCAGCAACCTGCTCTTGACGGTCTTTGGGGTTGGCGATGAAGGGAACCAACCCGGGTTAACAAAGATTCACCTGGGGACAACAGCAGCCATGCTGGGCCATCATCAAAAGTCGAGGCGCCCCCAAGCTGCCACGGCGTTCCCTCCCAGGTACGAGAAGTCGCTGTTTTGAATCGTGGCGTCACGGTTGTAGCCCGAAACCATGACTGCATTGCCCTCTAGTCGATCAAAGACACAGCTGTCGATAAGTGTCCCCTGGGTGCCTTGCAGGAAAACAGCAGAGTAG